CTCACTGGCTTTAGTGGTTGGTGCATAAATTTGAATAATAGTGGTATTAACTGGGCTTCCCTGTAGGTGCATGGATATTATCCTATCACAGACGGCATTGTGTACCTCATGACTGAACTGGATATGTTCTTTTTGACAATGAGTGCAACACCGTTCCTCTTCAATTTATCATTTCCGGCATAGTAAACCATGTGGTCATCAGATTCAAAATGGCCAATACCAGTCCATTTCAGCTCACTAATGCCTAAGATATCAATGTTTATGAGTTCCATTTCATTTTTGACAGCTTCCAATTTTCCCAGATTCATACTTCGTATGAATGTTCTGATTTTCAATGGATGTTTACAGTTGTTTCTCTTCATTTTGAGCTGTGCCCCATCAGCAAATGAAAGTCCCGCGGGCTTTTCTCCCACAAGCTTTACTCCATTCGCATCATCATGGTCAACTCTACTTTGAGGATGCAGCTCTTTCCCAGTCACGTTCTGAGTGCCTTCCAACATGAGGGACTCATTTTCCGGCACTATATCTGACAGTGTTTCTCTGCTAGTCATAAGGTTTTTAGTGACTAAATACTCTGAAGAAGTTCGTCACTCTTTCTTCCTAGTCTTTGTCTGGAAGCTCATCTGAAACCTGTCCACCATGGGTGACCCTCTTTAAAATACCGGTGGCATAGCTTTCAGAATCACAGCAAAACACAAGCCACCACAGTACAACAAACTGACAGACGAGTGGTGGCCGTTTGGTTTTAAATGGAAACTATCACTTTAAATTTCAAGATCTGTGAGCATGCATAGTAGAACCCTCCTTATGCATCACCCAAATTAATGTGTTTACCCTCTAATGATTTAACCTCCCCAACTTTTTTTTTCTTTTTTCCAGAATCAGCATATCATATATATCTGTAAATACGTATTTGCATGAGTGCTTAACCGGAAATACCCAGGTACTTGAGTAATGTACATTCATGTTTTACACATTTCTAGTATTCTTAGTTCTGGATAATTTCGACAATTCATATGAATAAATCCACTAGTTATTTCTTCTTTAACTAAGTGAGTTCACGTCTCGATGGCTGGATAATCAGAACTCGACTAGAGAAGATTAAAAAAAAAATTTTTTTTTATAAAGGAAGCAAGTATAAATTGCTACAGTTTGATGAACTTGACCTATACTTATGGGTGTAGTAGCTCAAAATATCAACTGAGAGGGAAGGACTCTTCACATCAAATATCAATCCTATCCCTTCTGTGTACAGGGTAGATAGGGATGGGCAACTTAGACATTGGCTACCTAAAATGAGGGTGCAATAAAGGCATGAAGTGACTGGCTTACAAGTTTTCAAGATGGAGTTTAGTTTAAGATTGTGTGGGGGAAGATTGAGTCCCCACTGAAAAGTTTTCATCTTGTTTAGATGGATCTGGTGAAGAGATGGGGATAAGATTCTTATGATTCAATAGTGAGTAATTGTTAATCATGACCAATTGCTACTGTCACAACTGTAAAGGTAGAAGTTTTGTAACAAAAATGGGGGAGTAGTTATAGTCCAGAAACAGAGGACTCTAGGACCATCAAGGGAGGAGAGCACAAGCAGAGTGTGGGATCCTATCCAGAGAAGCAGTGACACCAGAAATGGAGGCAAAGATGGGGATATGGAGAGAGGGAGTAGCTGAGGACTCTGGACTCATGGAAGGAGAGGGACTGGGTGCTGGCGGCCAGGAGGCAGGCTTGCAGAATGTACCCTTTGGTTGTTTAAATTATTATATATTCTTGAGTGTTTCTGTGTACAACACCCTGCCATGCACCCCCCCCCCCAAAAAACAAAAAACAAAAAACAAAAAAACCCCACAGGGAATGGAAGCAAATACTGTTGAATGATGATGCACGGAGGAGATTGTAATCATTGCAATGAAACGATGGTGTAAAGTCGATGTTCTCCCATGTACACTATCACTCAGTTCACAATAAAAACTTAAAAAAAAAAAAAGAACAAGTTGTAATTGGATGCCATCACTATCAATCATCCTAAGTAAAAAGAGGGATGTGGGTGACATCAAGTAACAAGATCAGTGATCAGACACACCCTTTGAGCTTTCTCTCTGCCCCTTCTAAGGAGGGCAGTGGGGATGGGACACTCTAGCTCTATGTGTCTTTGGGATAGCTCATTAGGTCTTCATATGTTTGGAATGGTACAAGAAGGACTCCACAGGAGAGAATTAAACAAATGCAAGTACAATCTTAATGATACATTGAATAGAAAAAAAAAAAAAAAAAAAAGAGTTGAAAAACTCTTCTGACTTATGTCTCTTAGAGTCCTGAATCTTCACTAAATGGTGGTGGTGGTGGTGTGCTGTGGAGTCTGTTCTGACTACAATGACCCTGTAAGGGGTTTCTGAGTCTGTATATCTTGTGAGAATAGAAAGCTTCATCTTTCTGCCATGGAGCAACTGGTAGATTAAACTGCTGACCTTCCTGTTAGCGCCCCAGCTCGCAATCCACCATGCTACCAGGGGTCCCTTCACTAAATAATTGATAAAAATTACCTACTAATTTATTTGGTGTCTGGTAAGAAGAGTCCTGGTGTGGCACTGTGGGATAATGCACTGGACTGTAAGATTGGTTTGAACCTCAGGGTCGGCAGTTCAAACCCACCAGCTGCTCCTCAGAAACTCTATACAGGGTTGCTATTAGTCAGAACCAACTTGACTTACAACAACAAACAACAGGATACTTTCTATTGATCTTTGCCTAAAAATTTCTCCAACACCACTTTCTCTCTGGGCAAGTTACTTTTTCTCTTTAAGGTTGTTGTCTCATTCGTAAAAAGGAAACGATGGTGCATAGGTTATTGCTGCTGTGAGGATATGTGAATCACATACAGTAGGCACTCAATAAATGTTACAGTCTCTAGTACTTCACAGGTTCTTCCAAACAAGACACAGGTGCCCACTCTCCGCCCCTCCCCGCTATTCCCTGGTTCAGGATAAACCCTTGATAAAGACTAATTTGATCCTTCCTGTCCTGATTGGCTCCAATTTTCCTATCTGAAAAATAGATTAGTATCCATTAGCCAAAGCTGGTCTGAAGCTATGTTTTATTAGGTCCACATAGGATTTCAAGAGGAAAACAGCCAGTATTTTAAAATTAAGCTATTTTACATAGAAGTCCAGATTTATAGCTTCTCTTGAAAAATCAGGTGTATGGCAACAATGACCCCACAATGAGGCAACAGTTGGCTAAGCCCAGAGGTGTCTGCCCCTGAGGTAGTTAAGATTTTGTGTCACTCTGGCTGGGATAGAGTTCTCAGTGGTTTAACAGTTACGTTACAGCGGAGGCATCCTACACAATGAGAACTGCTGTGAGCACTCAATCCATTGAATAGCAGTTTTCTTGTGAGGTGTGAACTGCTTCCGGTCTGTTGGACACTTTGAAAAAAGCTGACTTGCTTTTTGCTGGGTCTGGATCCTGAATCTGTCTTGTCATCCGGCTTGTGGTTCTTTGGACTTGAGTCAGTGGCCTGCTGCTGCGAGTCCTCAGCTGCCTGACGTCTTTGCCTTACCTGCTGACCTTGGATTTATTTGCCTCTGCAGCCAGAAGCCTGCCATCCAACCTGCTTGGATTCATCAGCTCCTGATGATGAATGAGTCAGAGAACCCTTCAGCATAAACCCCTCTACAACTGTGCGAGCCACTTCCCTGATATAAACCTCTCTCTGTGTATATATATGATTCAATTATTTTACTTCTTTAGAGAAGCTGACCTAAGTAAGACATACCCTCAGCTTGCCAGGGCCCAGCCCACCCAGCCTTCTTTACTCATTTACAGAACATATTTTTCAATTTGTGGTCCCCTGGAGACCTGGTGACATTAAATGATAATCACTGAGCTACTAGTCACAAGGTCGGCAGTTCAAACCCACCAGCCGCTCCAACAAAGAAGAGGCTGTCTGCTCTTGTAAAGATTCACAGTCTCAGAAACCCTATCCAGGGTTATTATGAGTCGGAATTGACTCCAGAGCAATGGGTTTGGCTTTTAGTTTTGGTTTGGAGATCTGGAAACTGCCTAGACCTGGCACATGTTGTTGTTGTTGTTAAGTGCTGTAGAGTCAATTCCGCCCCATAGCGACCCTATATAGGGTTTTCAAGGAGCAGCTAGTGAGCTTGAACTGCCAACCTTGTAGTTCAAATGACTTTGCAGTCTGACGCATTTGCCCACAGCGCCACACAAGGACCAGTGACTCTCCATGATCTCTTAGCCACTTTTTCTTATCTGACCATAATTAGAAATTAAAGTTTGTGTTTATTTGTGATAGTTATTGAATAACTGGAGTCCTGGTGTGGCACTGTAGAATAAGCACCGGACTTCTAACCAAAACGTCAGCAGTTCAAAACCACCAGCCGCTCCTTAGAAACCTCATAAATGAGTTGGAACAGACTCGACAGCACTTACCAACAACATTGAATTACTGATTCTCACTCTGAAAAGTGAATTGGACAAATCCTTTATGTCACTCAGGATATACTGGATTACTGTAGTAACAAACAATTTCAATGGTGTAACACAACAAAGATTTATTTCTTGTTTACTCATACAAATTTAAGATACAGATTGGAAATAGGTTTCAGTTTTCACATGCAGACAAACATAAGTGCATGTACACTGACAGAAAAGCCACTTAGATACTGGTCAGCTTCAATTTTACAACTCTCTTTTTATTGGGAATTTACAGAGGTCCTAGAAACCCCAGAGGGGGAGGAAGGAGAAAGTGAGAGAATATCGACCCTCAGCCAAGGAAATGCCCCATGCTATAAAAGAATTTGGAGGCTAGCAAAGCACCTGAAAGCTTACCAAAAAGAAGAAGCCAGAAGCTTGTACTGTATTAAATTTTATCCATAAACCCGTTAAGTACAATACAAAATGTGCAGTGCCTGCAGGCTGTGCCCCCCCACCCCCCAACCCCCCCCAGCAAGGCCTCCACCTCTGGGCTTCTAGCTCAGGAGAGAAATGGACCCTAGACGCCCAATATGCAGAGCAACAGATGGGGTTGGGCTGGGTCGGAGAGAGGAACCAACAGGCTGGAATCCTCTTCCAGCAGGAGCTGTGGGAAGGAAGAGGGCAAGGCCAGGTCACCTCCATTTCCCTCGTCCCCTTCTCTACTTCCCCAAATCCAGCCCTCATCCTTGTCCACTTGGATTCTTGCACAAATCTTTCTCCTTGCTGATTTTTTCCACCTCTAGTCTTGCTTTCTCCAATGCCTCCATTACAGACAATCACCATACATATCTGGCTAAATAAAGCTCAGGGTTTCTGAATGGTGCCTACCTAGTTCAGGAACATTCTCTGCCTTTCCCCAGCTTCATGCTCAGTTGAGTCTAGACTCCTAAGCCTGGAGAGCCAGACCTCTCTGGCTTCATTTCCCTCTGTTCCAGCAGCTACTTTAGGCCAGTTTCCTCACCCACAGGAGCAGATTACACAGTCATCAGGGCAAGCACAGGTTTACTTGTGTTTACTTACTAATTTATAGTGAATAATTTCACATGCATTTCATCCAATCATATGTGGCAAAACCCATGTAAAATTATTCACTACAGGTTAGTCAGTAAGCACAAGTAAGCTTGTGCTTACCTTGCTTACCGGGTACTCTGCTCCAGTCAGGGATTGTAAATCTGAAAAGAGGCTTTGGGTTGGTAGGAAGATGCTGTGGGTTGGGAGAGAGACAGATACTAGCCAGACCTAGAAGCAGCATCTTGGCTGTGGTGGAAACCAGAAGCACTGTGCTTACCTTGTCTATTGGATAATCCAGCCTGCACGCCCACACACATACCAAGTCCCCCACTGGAGTTACAAGGATCCTCAGCCTTCCTTTCTGTCTCCCTAGGTATTTTTCATCTCTCCAGTCCTCCCTAGGTTTGTCACTGTGCCTGTGAAGGCAGGCTCCCCAGTTAAAATGGAAGCTTCTTGAAGGCAGTTATCGGACCTCCAATGGCCCCTCTCCAGACTTCAGCAGGCAGTCTGAGTCCAGGAGACAGCCTTGGGCTGGAGTCAGGAGTCAGGCTCTGCCACTCTCCTGCTTTATGCACTTGGGTAAGTCCCTGCCTCACTTTCCTTGACAGCAGGGCACTGGGCATTTGCTGGTGAGTACCAAGCTCAAGGTAATCCCAGGAGCTAGGCCAAGGAGCTTGGGTGTCTGCATCTGAGGAGGTCTAAACTGCTGACTCCACTGATCTCCATCTCCCAACCATGTCTACCCCACCCTCTCCCCAGGGCCCTACACTGGTTCTAGGCAGGAGAGCAGTTACCTGGTGGACCGCAGGGATGGAGCAAGGAGATCCAAGCAGGGTTTGGGGGGACAGAAGGAGTCAGGCGGGGCGCCTGGGATGAATCTTTCAGCCCTACAAGGGCTTCAGCTGCTTCCCTCTGAAGCTGCCGTTCTGATGGGGTTGATGTCCAGGCCAGGCGAGAGGCTCCAGGGACCTATAGGAGACAGAGAGAGAAGTACACTGGGAATGCCCTGGGAATGCCTGTCCCTTCAAGTGCTCCCAAAGCCCCGGGTTCACTCCCCGAGTCCTGAGTCCCACATCTTCCTCAGGACCTGTGGTTGCAGCAGAAGAGGGTCTGGGGTGCCACAGGGCTGAAGGATCAGAGTTGAGCATCTAGAAACAAGGAGAGAACATACCAAGGAAGTTAAACACATGATCAGACATGAACACAGAAAGAAGGGCAGGAGTTCGCTTTATTCTGATCTGGGAAGCTGAGTGTCTATTGGGCCATTAGATTCAATGGCTTTGGGCAAGTCCCTTCCCCTGTCTTGGCCGGCTTTGTTTTCTGTAAAGTGAAAATCTCTGCTAACATTTTCCTCCCAAAGCTAATCTGAGAATTATAGGAAAATCACTGGTGTCCATTATTTTAAAAACTGAGAAAACACCTGGAGAAACTGGAATGAGTGTATCTGGCCACAGTCTGGTTTCCTGCCCCCACAACTCCCCAGTTCTAGGGAACCTGAAAGGCCAGCTTGGCCTACCTTTGGGAGGTTTTCTCTAATGCCCTCTGCGGTGCTCCCCATGATGGCTCCCACTGCAGCAGGCAATTCTGTCCCATCTCAGCAGGTTAAGTGGGTGCATAGCCACAATTTGTTCAAAGCCAGGACCCCTGCTAGGTGCATCCCACACATTGTTGCTAATTTTCCCAGAAACACAGTAACAGTGATAGAAACACAGACTCAGAGGTAAGGCTACTTGTCCAATGCCTCACAGCTAGTCCCTCTGAATGAAACCTTTTCTTCTTTGCCATCCATGAAGATGCCCAGTACAGAATAAACAACACACAATTCTCTCCCTACTCACGTGCGGGGCAGGCCGGGGGGTCCTTGGGGCTCTCCAGAAAGAGGAACCGTCAGTATTGGGCGAGGACCTGAGCAGGTGGAGAGGGGCCCATGAGTGGGTGGGCGGAGTGAGGTGCCAGAATCAAAGCCTAGGGGGGGGGGGTGAAGAAAGAGACAACAACCAGACGTTCAGTTCCTTCCAGAGAAAACAAAAACAAAGAACCTAAAACTGATCAGGTTTCTAAATCTATGTTGTACACTAGAATTGACACGTGGCTACTCCTCCTAATTGAGATGTGCTATGTTGGTGTTGCTGTTGGTAAGTGTCACTGAGTCAATTCTGACTCGAAGCCACCCTGTGTAGGGCTTCCGAGGAGCAGCTGGTGGTTAGCAGTCCAGTGCTCACAGCTCAGTTCTATTCTGAAATGACTCCACAGCAACAAGTTTGTAAACATAAACATATACATCAAAATTCTTCTATTTTTTTTTTTTTTAACAGCAGCACTAGATTTCTAAAATTCAGCACCGATTAGAAAAGAATATAAAATTTCTCAGTAATTTTTATATTGATTGCAACTTAAAATGATAAAACTTGGATGTTGTTGTGTTGTTGTGTAGTGCCATTGAGTTGGTTCTGACCCATAGTGACCCTGTATCGGGTTTCCAAGGAGCAGCTGGTGAGCTTGAACCACTGACCTTGCAGTTCAAATGGCTTTGCAGTCTGGCGCATTAACCCACAGTACCACACCAGGACTCCCAAAACTTGATACACGGGGTTAAATAAAATAAATAAGAGTATTAAAGAAACAAAAGCCTAATGAGGGTTGGAGAATGCAGAGTGTACTTTGGGCACGCAGTCAGAGGTCAGGACTTCTGTCCCCCCTTCTTCCTACTCTGTGTTGTCCCTCTGCTCTCTCAACACAGCAGCTCGCTGGCCCTCAAGTGTCTGTTGAATGCGTGGATGTTGAATGACCACCTTACCAGGGAAAGGATGCAGAGGGACAGCAGGTTCTTGGCACAGCAAGCGGCACACCACTGGGGGTGGCATGGACAGGCCTGGGGGCAGCCAGTGTCCAGGAGCCCAAGGACCAGGAGGAAGCGCAGTCCAGGGCAAAGGCAAGGTTTCTGGTGGATGGCTGAGCAGCAAAGGTCCACGGACGTTCTCCTGAGAGGCAAAGGGCACACGTTAGAGTCAAGTATGAAGAGGAGTGGACATGTTTTAGGATGTAGGTAAACCCCAAAGTATCAGAACTGGGAGGGCCTTAAAGTTGTTCCCTCTCATTTTACTGGAAGAGAATTGATTTGCTCAAGATTACACAGCATGTGAGAGCTGAGGTAGAACTCAGCTATCCAGGATACAGAGGAAGGAGTATGGGCAATGACTGGGGTGGAAGCCCCTATCCCAGGGCCCAGAATCTCCTTACCTTCCCAGGAGGTGTCAGGGCCAGCGGGATTGTCCCATGTGGGGTCTGAGGTTGGGGTGCTACATTCTCCTTCCCAACTGTGAGGAACCAGGGAGAGTTTTGGTGAGTGCTTTCCCCTGGCCCCTGTTCTACTGAACTCCCAAACTGAGTCTATGCCTCCCCGTGGCCTGTTTTCTAGCCCTGTTCTCACTCTGTCCTCTCAGTACTCGGTCACATTTTTTTTATTTGGGGAGGAGAAATTTCTCCCAGAGAGGAGAAATGTGTTGCCCAGAGTCACACAACAATTCAGTGGGAGGACCGGAACTCTTTTTACTACTTATGCTTTCCACACCCAGCCCCTTCCCTAGACAGCAGCACTCACAGGGGAGTCCTGGTCGAATGGCTCCCTTCCTGACACGACTGAGAGCTTTGGATGGGGCTGCTCCTCTCATCAGTCCCTGAGCCAGGTGCCTCTTTAGCTGCGCCTCCTGCTGCCGACGTAAAGCCACTTGAGCAGCCATGACCCTTCGACGCTCCCTAAAGTGGGGTAGGGGGTGTGCGTCAAAGGTCAGCCAGCCTTTAGATGAGACCTGCTCTCCTCCCCTCCCTGAACCTCATACTTACAGGATAAGGACACACTTGTGACATTCACAAGCCTGGAAGAGGCAGAGACGCTTGTGCCCCTTGAGGTGGGCAGTGATGCCATGGTTGCGGCAGCGGGCGCAGGTCGGAGATCGACTGACAGTTCTCCTGGGAATGAGCTCAGTGCCCTGGGGGGCTCCAGTCACCCCCTCTAGGGCAGCGTCTGAGGGGCAGTGGTGGACAGCAGCTATATGATTGGGCTCCATGAATCTAGGAGTGGAAGTGGAGGGTCACTATGGCCCTGTGGCTCCACCTCTAAGCAACGTCTCCACCTGTGGGAGGCCATACCTGAGTTTCTCCACGTCCCCCAACCCTGGACCCTGCTTCTTCAGGACTTTCTTCCCTCATCACCCCACAATCTCTTCAGGAATCTTCCTTCCTGGGACCCCCTTCTTCGTCTTCCTTTCTTATCCGCCCTTTCAACCCCAAGGTGACTCTCTCACTCTCACCTTCAGGGTGACACCCCCACCATAGGTCCTAGAGTCAGCCAGACTCACGACCCCAACAATCCCCCTCTCCCTCCAGTGGGGGTTCCCAGCGTCTTCGTCCACAACCCCCACCCACCTCCCAGCAGAACGTCAGTTCTTAACAGCGGTTCTTGCGCACCCACCTCCCACTTGACTCGAGAATTACGGTCCTGACTAAGAAGCCCTGGTGGCGCAGCGGGTTAAGCACCGGGGCTGCTAGCGGCAAGTGGTTCAAACCCCCCAACTGCTCCACAGTAGAAAGAGGAGACTGTCTGCTCCCCTAAAGGTGGACAGTCTCGAAAACCCTCTCGAGGAGACACTGTGCGTAGGAATCAACTCGAAGCCAGCGCGCGGTTTGGCGTGGGTTGGGTGGGTGACCTGCAGTTCCATTTCAGCCCCCTGCACTCCGTCCATCTGATTGTGTTCCTGGCCCCTCATTTTAAGCAGAAGACCCTCTAGCACCCTCAGGAACTCCCCATTTTCTAGCATTATTTTCCCAATGCCGTCGTTTATGCCACAACGTTTCTGGGCCCCCCTTCCAGGCGCCTGGCGCTCAACCCGCTGTTGCGCCCCCACGAGCGAGGGACGTCTAGTCTCTACGCACACCCCGCGTTTCCTGCTTCTCTGCCCGTTTTCACCGGTTCATTTCATGCACCACCCGTCCAGCCCCTTCTGTGCACAGGCACCCCACCTCCCAGTAGCACCCCGTTTCAGCAGGCCCCGTCCCAGGGTCCCCGAGAAGGGGAGGGGCACGGGGGCGCGCGAGGTTGGGGCAGGGAGAGGAGGGGCGCGAGGAGCTGCAGAGGCCGCGCTGAGGGGGTGGGGACAAAGTGTGGGGATTCCAGCGACAGTAAAAGAGGAGACAGGGGGCAAGAATGGAGGGGTGGTATTCGCACCGCCAACCCGCGGTTACCACAGCCTCGAGCTGGATCGGAGTCAGTCAGGAAGAGGCGACCGAACTGAGAAAAGAAGTAGTTTGAGGAACGGCTAAGCTCGCGCTGTTTTCCCGCCCCTTATCACAGCAACCAATCAGCTTCCAGCACCACCTACCGCGTAAAGATGGCCAGCCAATGAATTTTGCCCTTTACCTCACAGCTCACTTAGACTTTGCACTAGACTGTCAAACCAGCCAATAGTGCGTCGAGTTGAATCTCGAGCCCCCCCCTTCCTCTCCACCCCCCCACTCAGGGCTGGCCTTCTGAAATTGTTCCTCCCCTTTTGAAGAAAGTGACCAATGGGGCGTCGAGCATGTGTCTAGAACCAAGGCTGGCCCTGCCCCCTCAGGAACGGCTCTCAGGGGCCTGTCCGAGGCGTTGACTTTGGCTCTTGTGTGCGCAGGCGCACAGCCTCACTCTTCTTTCTCGGTTGTGTAGATTACACGCCTTGTTGCTTTCTGTGTTTTTAGCGCTCGGTGGCATCTATTCGCCGTGTCAACGCTTCTATTTTCTCTTCTCACTTTTGTGACCCAACCCCTAAAATACCCTTCTCCTCCTTGGGTGTACCCTCCCTCCTGTGACTTCCTCCTTTGTTTCCTGTCTGGTGTCTCCCTTCTCTACATCTCTCTCCTTGTCTCGGATTCTGAGTTTCCTCACCTCGACTTTCTCCTTGTCTGTCTGTCCTGTTGGTCTTCAGATCCATATCCCACCCCCACCCCCGTGCCCCGTCCCCTACCTGCCTGGCCCCTTCCCCTGCTGTCCTTTCTGTCTGAGACCTTTCTGGGGACTCCAGTCTGAAGATTTTCGTCTTGGGCTTCTGTTCTGTATTTGTCGTTTTTTTTGTGTGCAGTTTAGGCCTAGCATCACGCTTTCTCAGTGCATCCTGTTCTCCTTTTGTCTTCCACACTCTGAAATTGTCTCCTCGTCCCCTTGGGTCCCTCTCCTCGTACCTTGGCCCCTCTGTGCTCTCTGTTGGGCCTCCTCTCTCTCCTCATTCCGTTTGCTTGCCCCTCTTCTGTGTATGGTTTCTCAGCATAGAAAAGACCACTCCATCCTTTTATTCTTGAAGAGTTTCATCTTTCTGGTCGTGTCCCCTTTAGTACTGAGATTGTTGGGTTGTGTCGTTTTGCATCCCAGATTGGGATGTGCCATCTTCTCTCACTGCCCTGACCCCTCTGTGTGATCCTTTGTCAGCCTTCGTTTACCTTTCTGGTGTCCCATTTTTTTCTGGGGGGGGGGGGTCTTAGCTCCTCTGTTGGCCATAGTGTTTGAGGTGACAGAGCCTGTGTATTTGTGGAATTCTGGACAGAAAGAGGTGGCGCAGGTGACGTCTAGCTGGCCTGCCTTATAGAGGAACAGGACTAGATAGAGTTAGAAAGGTTCGAAAAGTGGTTTGGGGCCAATTGGGGGAAGGGTTTGAATTTCAGTTGTAGAGATTGAAGTTGATTCTATAGGTAGTGGGGAGAGAGATATTTATGGGGGTCTTAGCATATGCCCAGCACTTGATCTTTATAATCCTACTGAATCTCACAATGACCCTATGAGATGTGTTATTAGTCCACTTTATAAAAGAGGAAGCAGCCTCAGATCAGCCAACTGCACAAGATCACATAACTATCTGGAGGGTAAGGATTCCAACCTTGGTCTAACTCTGAGTTCAAATGATAGATTTTGTACTCCCTACATTGTTTTTGTGTGGTGCTGTCGGATAAGCACTGGCTGCTAACATCAAGGTCGACGGTTCAAAACCACCAGCCGCTCCTTGGAAACCCTATCCAGGGTTGTTACGAGTTGGGATCAACTTGATGGCACTTAACAACATTGTTTTAGTTAATTATTTCCTCTATTCCCAATTCCCCATTTTCATTTTCCTGGCATTCCCATAGGCAGACATTCTAAGATGGTTATTGTGTATCTTTGGCTTGTTTTTTCTTCCCCCGCCCCCCAACAACTTTTTGTTGTGAATTGAGTGAAGATTTATAAAGCAGAGCATCAGAGCATTAGCTATGTGTTTAACAAGTCCTGGTGTGGCGCTGTAGGATGATGCACTGGACCAAAAGATCAGCTTGAACTGCAAGGTTGGTGGTTCAAACTCACCAGCCACTCCTTGGAAACCCTATACAGGGTCACTATGAGTCCATACTGACTAGACAGCACTTATAAACAACAACAACATACTTTCCTTCACTACATGGTTGCAATCCCCTCCATGTACCAACACTTAACAGTATTTACATGTATTCACTTTAACTACTGTATTCCTCCTTATATCTGCCACGACCTTCATCTTTCCTCTGCTAACTTCCCTCTTGTATATTGCCTGCCCTGTCACCATGTTAACATGTGTGTACCCACTAGCCTGTGAATGGTGTTTCCTGCCCCTCCCACTCAAAACCATCATGGATTGATTCTTTTATCAAAAAAAACTTATAACTTTTTACAACATTGGTCTCATACATTATATGTCCTTTTGTGATTGGTCAGTTTCATTCAGTATCGTGTCCTCCAGGTTCAACCATATTATGAGGTGTTTCACAGATACATCATTATTCCTCAATACTTTGTAGTATTCCACTGTGTGGATGCACCAACGTTTGCCTAACGATTCTACTGTTAGAGCATCTAGGCAGTGTCCATCTTTTTTATGTCTCTTGTAGACAGCATAGTCTTATCCAATCTATTATCTGTGTCTCTAGACTGATATACACTTTAATCCATTTACATTCAATGTAATTATCAATAGGTATGAATTGATTCATGTGCACAGATCTTGAAATTGAAAGTGACAGTTTCTACTTAAAACCAAATGGCCACCACTTGTCTGTCAGTTAGTCGTACTGTGGTGGCTTGTGAGTTGCTATGATCCTGAAAGCTATACCACCAGTATTTTAAATAACCGTGGTGGATAGGTTTCAGATGAGCTTCCAGACAAACAAAGAGTGACGAAGTACTTCCGAATCTTTAGTCACTGAAAACATTACGAATAGCAGAAAAACGCTGTCAGATATAGTGCCAGAAAATGAGTCCCTCCAGTTGGAAGGCACTCGTGGCAATAATAGTGAGGTTGGCCCAGGATCGGGCAGTGTTTCGTTCTGCTGTGCATAAGGCCGCTATGGGTTGGTACCGACTCGATGGCACCTAACAACAACAACAACAGTGAATTGATTGCTATCATTTTTCTGAGTGATTTTTGTGGTGTTGCTGGATTCTTCCACATAATTTTCATTTTGTTTGTGGCATCTATCATTTTCATTTTTGTTCTGTTAATGTTTACTAAATCTTTCCGATTTTCCTCTTTTTCATTTTATTGTGCAGGTGTCTTATGTTTCTTTGAGGTTATACTGTAATTAATTTTTTTTTTCCTGCTTAAAGCAGTCTATTTTGTCTTGAAAGCTACTCAACTTCCTTGCCATTATTCTCTCTTTTTTCTTTGGCAGTTCACTTCATTATACATTAGTAGCTCTGGGTCCCTATTTTCAGTCTTGTAGATTTGTTTCACTTTAAATACGTCTATGTCTGCATTGAGTTCTGGGTGGTGTTGTCATGTCTGCTAGTCTCAAGTTGTGGTCTTCTGTGGTTGGTTCTCAGTTCAAAGAACAAACTTTAGCATTTTTTGTAAAGTTGATCTGGTCAGTACAAATTCTTTAATTCCTACTTATCAGAAATTGTCCTAATTTACTGTCATTTTTGAGGAACAGCTTTGCTGGGTATATGATTTGGGGATGGCAATATTTTTCTTTCAGAGTTTTGCATATGTCATCCCATTGTCTTCTTGCCTGCGTGGTTTCTGCTGAGAGATTTCAG